ACTGGGTCAGTTCTTCATGGAACAAAGTGACTTTTATGATGCCCCATAAATAAAGTCCTGTAATCTAGACAATCGGCTCACAGATGGCGGTAAGGTTGTCAGCCTTACGCGCTGGCTGCACATTACTCCCCAGGAAAATTATTTAATTAATTCCTGGTACTCATTTCTGTTAGAGGCTGAGTCAACCTCAGGGCCATAGTGTGGCTGGAAGAATTAGGTCAATTGAAAAGGATCCAGTGACCTCATTGGGACTTGAACCGGCGACCTTCCAGCTTGTAGCATAGCCCCTCAACCAACTATGCTACTGTGTGCCCCCCCCCACACACACGTACATACAAGTAATACATGATGGTTCAAAGTGCTTGCACAAATACCACACTTTCATTTCAGTGGATAACCTGCTATTACAGTATTCTAGTTCATATGAAATGTAGTTTCAAAATTAATGCTTCAATTCTTCAGTTACATCACTTTCCATATTCAACTTGGCCTGTATTTTATAGTAGGATGTGGCTTCACAGTAAGTAATCCACATTGCTACTAAAGCCTGAGCAATAGCAATTGAAAACAGGGAACTTCTAATAGGCTTTGTAAATTTCCTCCATAATGCAAACACTGCTTTGAAATCTTCTGTAATTTGTGGCAATCTGTATGAGTTGTAATATGATGCAAGCTGAAAGAGAGAAAAAGAGTATCAGCAGTTGCGATATTTTATCTTCTTGGAGCTGTAATCTGATTCATTCTTTGGCCTTTTCTAATTGAAATATAAATCATTTAGATAGGAGCTTAGACTCTTTGGATGAGGGAGAAGTTACAATATGAACCAAGATAATGCAGTTGGTATAGTGACTGGCTACGGGTTGGACAGCATTTGAGTCCCAGTAGGGGCAAGATTTTTCTTCTCCCTATGTCATCCATACCAGTTCTGGGACCCACCTGGCCACCTATCTAATGCGTATTGGGGTGGGGGTCTTTCCCCAGGGATAAAGCTGACCACTCATCTTCAACTAGTGCCAAGGTCAAGAATACATGGATCTATACATCCACTCCCCCATACGTCTTCATGGCATAGTGTTTAATTAGTTGACCACTTTATATGATAACACTAATTGTAACTAAAACAGGACCTGAAGATGGCAGACATGTGCCAAAACATATCCTAGACAGCAACTCCATCTGCTGAAAATAGTGTTGTGTTGACAGGCATAAATGAAGAGAAAGTTACAGAAATAGTTCTAATGTCCTAAATTAAAGGGCATACAGGTACAAAAATTAAGACTACAGCTTCTGAGACATGGATTACAGAGGCAAGTTATGATTTTGGAAAATGGTAGTTATCACTGATGATCTCCTGTCTTCACATTCATAAGTACTTGAAATACTTTTATCATAGATGCCTTGGTTTTCCAGAAATATGTTTTCTAGTGGTGTTTGGAAAACCTTACCGCCATCTTTCAGCCGATTGTCTAGATAATGTGGGACCCTCGCCTCACTACCCTATGGGCCTTCATGGCCTGTTACAGGGATAGCTTTACTTTACTTAGTGGTGTTTGGAAGATAAATATCATTGATTACTAGTGTATTTAATAAACTCTTAGCTGTTAATAACCATTTTTAACCATCAAGCAGGCACACCATATATAAAGTTTGCCAGAATTAATTTATGAGAAAAATTTCACTTTGTTTCTTTGATGTATGTGCCTCTTTCTGGTTTTCCTTCAGTTGACCTTGGGCTTTTGACCTGTGCAGCTGATTAGTGAAAACTTCATTACAGTAAGCAGCAACTTCTAAAAAGTCAGAGGATATTTGCTGTTGGCTTGGTAATATAAGTAGTTGTTTGAAGCATTAAAGAAGAGCTGGAGTGCATCTAACCCCAATATTACCACTAAGGAAGAGCAAACTTTTGGAATTTTATTTTTACCAAAGATGAGGATTCTGCCACTGTACCAGAAACTGTCTGAGGACAAGAGGGAGAGATGTGTTTGAAAGTGCCAAAGTTGCTGTAAAAGGAGAAGACTGCCACCCACAGTGATTAGGATTATGGATCTGAGCAGAGTGTGAAGTGAAGTCAGAGGAGACTAGAAATACTGTCAAGATTTTGCCTTCATCAGAAGAAGCTGAAAAAGGAACTATGGATGAAATAAGTGCACTTAGTATTACATCTGATATATGTTCGAAGTAAAGTAAAGGTATCCCTATTACAGGCCATGGAGGCCCATAGGGTTGTGAGATGTTGAGGTTCCCACATTTTGTAGACAACCAGCTCATAGATGGCGGCAAGGTTGTAAGCCCTATGCACCAGCCGCCCTTTACCCCCAAGAATATTCCTGGTACTCATTTCTGTTAGAGGCTGAGTCAACCCCAGGGCCATATTGCGACTGGAATGATTAAGTCAATAAAAAAAAAAAAAAAATCCAATGACCTCATCAGGACTTGAACCCGTGACCTTCCAGCTTGTAGCATATTGCCTCCACCAACTACGCTACCACGTCCCCCATATATTCGAAGTGGAGACCTAAAATGTTTTATAAAATACATGAATATGCATGTTCAGGGTAAGGGGCTCAGTGTACTTCTCCATAGGAATACTGACAAAACAAGCTACAAGAAATGAGATAATAAATTTGCTCAAAATGTCTTTCTTATCCTCTGCCAAAAGAAAGGAAATCACAGGAATTATCTCAAACTTTGGAATACTGATGAAACTATAAGCTGTAAGAGTCTTTTTGTTCCTTTTGTAGCCATACAAACTCATCTTGACTCCTTTGTAGCCAGCTGTAAAAATAGCTACTATATATAAGTTTGTCACAATCTGTAATAAACTAGAACTGTTTCAAGGCTGTTACGTCTTCATCCTCTGTACATCCAACATACTTGCTAAGTATGAACTTAAAACCTTAGTACTCTGCGATGATGTAATTTGCTTTACAAGTAATTTGGAACCGTATCATGGCAAACAAAGGGAGGGCCCATAAAAGGTTTCAACAAAAATCTCAATACTGATAACTGGTACAATAATTACTGCCTTTCTAAGTATAATCTCAGAAAGAAAATTACAGATACAACAAAAATCTCAGTACTGAGAACTGGTACAATAATTACCGCCTTGCTAAGTACGATCTCAGAAAGAAAATTACAGATACAAACACACCGCCCCTCACAATTGGAATGTACTTAATTGAACTGCTGGTATTAAATCCTGATGTAATTAACTTAATTAACTATAAAGTTTTATCTTAGTCTATGATTTATGATATGATTCTTACATAGACACATGCATTGCAAATATATACAGTATTTCCAATTAATGAAACCTCTGATGACGGCCAAGACAGGTCAAAACATTTAAGGTAAATTGTGTGTTCACAATAAACTAGTCACATCTGCAGGAATATATACATATTACATACAGAAAATTATATGTCTGGGAACCATTAGCAAAAATAAGATCCCTCCAGGATTTCTGCCATGAAAACAACTGAGCAGTAGGATTCTCACATGTGCCTTTCATCCACCTCCCTTGGACCACTGCCATGCAACTAAGCTTTCTGTGGAATTTCAAAAATTATTTTCTTTGTAAAAGGGGAAGAAGCTACTACCTCAACATCTCAACTGCATATCTGAAATGGACTACAATCTCTATAACAAGACGAAGAAAGAGCAGAAACACCTATATAGCACTGTTGTTTTAAAACAATATTAGTACATACATGGCCTTCACTCTCAGTTTCTGTAACATCTTACATATATCCAAGATGTATTTGAGCAAAATGTTTGGAATTACTGACCCAAGTGGTCTGGACAGCTATAATTTACATTCACAGAATACCAAACTTGAATCTGGCTAGGCACCAACTATCTAGGAAAAGTTTTCAGTGTCCTCTGGGACTCCGCAGAAAGCTAGGCTAGTGTCTTCACACAGGCCATCGCAGCCACCTCCCACATCCCTTCCTGTTCATAATTATCACCTTGTTATCCCTAATATCCTGTTGCACTGTTCACTTAGCATCTATTATTCACAGTCTTAGTACAACACCACATCCCACAAGACTTGTAAACTTTAAAAGCTAACAAGTTTGTATGATGCAGTGTTGCACATAAGACTGTGAATAACAGACACTTGTTATTCCTAATTAAAAGAAATTATGCTATTTGGCCTGAGTTACTGACAGCATCGATAAATAAAACATAAATAAAATTCATACAAGATCCTACATAACCTTTGAAACAGATATAACACTGTAAAATAAGCAAATAAACCAGTACAATTTATTGATACTACAGATGCCTTTTAAAGTGAGATGCAATGTGGGCATATGGATTGGTGGTAGAAAATGAATGGAGACTATAGGACACCTGAATGCAATAACCTGAAGAATACGAATGTTTCCCAAATTTGTCATGACTCCTCTATTATGTACAGATGGACTCACCGTAAAACCCACCAGCGGGCTTAACAAAGTTGGATATATTACAGAAAAGCCAACTTGAACAGCTGATGCACGTAACTGAATGCATAGAGGACATGCTGTCTTCTGCAGAACAATACCTGTAGTCACTGCCTGCAATAATATGTAGGCTGTTTAGTATCATATTTATTCTATCACCAGAGATGTCTAAAACAATAATCAACAATGAACAGACCATCTACATAATCTCCCTTGAACAACCATCCATGACATATATCATATATTTGATTTGTGTGAAGAAGAAATAAGAGCTCATTGTTTGCGCCAGCCAATTTTCCTTGGCTTTCATCTTGTCATGATGTCCAATGTGTTATCCTTCGGTGTGCTTCTTCAGTAATTCACAAAAGTGGAAATTGCTAGATGCAAGGTCTGGGCTGAATGCTGGATGACCAAGAAATTCCTAGACAAATTCACAGACAAGCTGTTGTTGAAAATATTCTGGGATGCACAGGATATTCTCTTCTTCAGTTCCTGTGCCACAGGTCTTATGATATTACTGCATTCCCACTTACTGTCATACCTGAAGAAAGAAATTTCTCAGAACTGAATATATTACAGACTGACTGACTGTCTATCTATAAGTCAGGGCAGGCAAAATAGACTGGTAATGTTATCAACTGATAACAAATAATTAAAAGTAACTGATACCACAGATATTCTGAAGTTTTAGCATAAAGATATTGTAGAATGAAGTGTGTATCTAAGGACAAATTTGTAAGCATTCTGCCTAGTTTCATCTAAATATGAATTACCGATCTAAAAATTTTGATTATCATACATAGCACATCACTTTACCAACATATTCTATAAAATTCCTGCATAATCCACACTCAAATTCATAAACACCAATGCAGTATAAAATTTACAGATATAGTTATACCGACAGGTTGTCCAGTGACTGAGGTTAGCTCTTTCTAATGAAACTAACAGTGTATGTGCCTCCCATCCTTTCACCTCAGGATGGAAACAGTCCCAATTACCAGTTACTCAGGTTGTCCAGTAACTGAGGTTAGCTCTTTCTAATGAAACCAACAGTGTATGTGCCTCCCATCCTTTCACCTCAGGATGGAAACAGTCCCAATTACCAGTTACTCAGGTTGTCCAGTAACTGAGGTTAGCTCTTTCTAATGAAACCAACAGTGTATGTGCCTCCCATCCTTTCACCTCAGAATAGAAACAGTCCCAGTTACCGAAATATTGAGTTTTTTAGAATACCAGAAGATAATTTATTTTTCATGCCAAGCAGAATACCACAACAAAACAAAATTAAATGATGTTATTTCCATGACAAAAGCTGATAAACAGCATACAACCATGTTCAGTTGCCTATGCTCAGGAACAAGTACTAGTACTATAGATCCTAGGTATGCTTGTGGTATGCAATTCTTAGACAAATTTTTCATTCTTTTTGCTTGCTGCACAAGAGTCTCTTGTCTTCAGTTTTCTTGTCATTTGCATCTTTCTTGCTCTCTTTCTCTCTCTGTCTATTGCTGTACCCCCTTCATTTTCTTCAGAACTGACCCCACAAACTACATGAATATGATGGATACAGTCCTGACACCGATGGTTTCCACTGTTTTCCTTTGAGCAAATATTGGAGTGAATCTCAATGGAGACGGATTTTTGTACAGACAAAGGTGCTCTGGGCATATTAACGTTAACATATCCTGGCTAGCCCTCTCCACAGTATCCTGGCTTTCACTGTGGTAGAATTTACCATGAGAATTATAAGTACAGGTCAAATATTTTTCAGATTGGAAACAAGAGTTTATTGGAAATTACCCTTCCTTTCAAAAACTGCAGTATAGATGGTACTCATGTCAGTGTTGGTCAGGATGCAGGCCATCTTGACAACTCACTTACATTCAAGAGCTTTAAGGATAACAAAAAGTTTGTGCAGTGATCTTGATATAACAATATGAATGAATACTTTCCATTTGGTTAATTGTCAACGTCCATCAAATTTACATGACTAAATTCAAAGAGAATCAATGGCTTAACAAATATTCCTTTTTATAATCTGTTTGCCTTTAATGGCATGGCTAGACAATAATAAGCAGAATTTTTTCTGTACCATTATGAATGTTCCTTGATCAGACAGTTTTTGTCTTTTACATCCACTTGGTGCATGTGTTGCAAGCAGAGCTACAAAGTTTACTATCAGATGCACAGTAAAAAAATTGGAAATTCTCTCATCCTTCACTGAAAAAATAAGTTTATTTTTATTTTCCACAATGAAATTATACTGCTTCTGAAGCCGTTACACACAGGGTCATTTCCTCTCCGAACTTTTAGCATTAACACTTCAGTAACTAACTTCTTATAACTGTCTTCTGCAAAAACTTCACTTGTTCAAGCAAATATTTCAGAGGTACACTAATTTCATATACTCTACATGACTAGTGACTTGTTCCATTCCCATCTCAACAGAAAAGACCTGTTTAAAAAAGAATGTTGCAATCAGATGCAAATACAAATGTAGCTGCACAAACTGTGTACATATTGAACACCGGCAGCTTCATGCTTTGTATTGCATAACATTCCTAAGAAAAGACATAACGTGTAATGCAGTATTTCATACTTTCATGATTTTACAATGTGCCTGCAATATATACTTCATTAACATCTTAATGTAGAAACAATTTTGGAATTGAAGGTTCCCTTTTCTTCTAATGCAAGTGCTCTTCTAGAATCTCACATTCATTAATTATGTACTAATCTTTATAATTCGGATTTTCACATGCATAATTCACATGAAATGGAAGTTAAGAAAAAAGTTAGGTGTGATCAGTAATCAAAAATCCTCGTATGATATACCAAACAGTTCATTACATAGTTCCTGGTTTTATTATCACCTGTTCAAACAGTGAGACATAACAGAATGAGCAGGTCTTTTGCACAAGGGAAAAACTTGGTAGAAAGTAAATCACAGGGTGTTTGTTTTAGTAATCAGTGAGCCAGTTGTGAGAATTATATTTATGTGTGTCAAACCATGCTGAAATCAGTATCTAGCATCACACTTCCTGTTGAAAAGTGTATGACAAACGAATTAATATAAATGTATTTGTAAATTTGAGAAATAACATTTGAAATCGGTTGCCTACATATTATCACACTGGACTGAAAATCCTGATGTTGTTCATGAGATTCCATTACACACTCAGAAAATTGATGTGTGGTATGTTGTAAATGCTAGAAGAATCATAGGCATCACACTCTTTTATATACATGTACTTCATAGCTGTATGCAAACATCAGTAAGGAAGAACTGTTACACATACTTTGATTCAATGAGGACCCTCACGGACTGTGAATCTGCACAGGTCCAATGTCACATTCCCCAGAACTAATCGTGTCTTCTGTCTCAAGAATAACATAGATCAGAGCATTTAAACAGATAATTCACAACCTTTGGAGACTTTACAACTACACATAAAAAATGTTACAGAAATAACGAAAGGTAAACTAAAAAATATGTCATAATATTTGTAACACTGACAAATATTCCCGCATATTAACATCGCCTTCAGAATTTACTATATTACAGTTTCAGAAATATTTCTTGAATGTGAACAGAACCTACACTGTGTAGTAGTTCGAGGCTTCCTTGTGGGAGAGTACTCATTTTTCTGCTTTCCAAACAAGTGGTAACTGGACTAGAAACAGAGAAATTACCCATTCCATAGGATACAGTGCAATAACAGTTTATTTTCTGAGCAATGAACCTTTGAGTTACATCATAAGATAGGAATTTCTTGAATAGTGCACTAACAACTATTCAGTATATCTGGGACTTGGTCATGCAAAACATTCCATGTAATTTTGCAAACTGCTTTACCTGTTGATGAAATAATGCTGACATCAAGGCAGGAAGTGCTATAACAGGTAGGTAACTGGACACCCTACCATAAGTATGAAGTCTTAATCTGCTTCTAAAATAGTTATTGATATACATGCCTGATAAAGCACTGCAAGCACCCAGAATTCCATAACCATAGTGCAATGGCCATCTACAAGAAAACAAATCATAATGATAACATATTACTTTCTTATTCACACACTTGTGCACATGCACACAATAGAACAGAAGCTATATCTTCTTTCTAGCTTTGTTGAAAACATTATTTTAATGTTCTTCTATTCTACATCATTGCCTTGTTATGTGATCTTTTATGAAAATTCAAGGTAATAAATACACTTATATCATATTTACAACCCACGATTAATCTGAAGATATACACAAATTCGAATTTATAAAGCATTAGCTAGGTAGAACGTAACAGATAACAAGGAAAAATAATGAAAGAAAATCAATATCAAGAGAAATGCATTTCACAAAATGGAAAGTGTGTTACATGTATTGAGCATAAAAAAGCAGATAATAAAAAACGAGATTTTAACAGTAATATATTTTATAATACATCATAAAATTGAAAGGAATGTGCTGAAAGCAGAGATGTGTTGTTTGTCAGTGAATGGGTTCCAGAGACCAGATTTTTCTTGTGAATGGGCTGATCTGGATCAAAGGTTGACAATGCATTCATTCTTTCATTGCAAACCTATTTTCTTTTCAACCTGACCTGAATACTCGCTCAGTTGTTCAATCATTCTCCTGCTCCCCTTCCAATCTAATCTGATTCAAAATGTCAAACCAAACTCTTCCCATAATGACATTACTACCAATGTAATAGAATTGTAAATGTTCAAAAACCAAATCTGCTCAAAAATTCCGGTCCACTAATATGATGGTGCAATAAACAAATACATAACCCGAGACATATACAAAAGTCAGTGCTTCAAGGATTACAGCCATTTTTTTGTGGACGAGTTATTTCAAAAGGCAAAGCAAACACTGTGAAACGGGTTAAGTTAACTTCACCATGGTTGTCAAAGTATTCATTTTTAAATTACAGTTTAGACTATGATATTGATTTTTAAAATAACGGTTTTCTTTACTGTAGTATTATTAAAATCTATTATCATCTTCATCATCATCGTCATTGTCATCATCAGAGTTATTATCACTGGCCATCATTGGCATCATAAATCTTATATTCAAAAAAGTAAGTAAAAAGTAAACCTATCCCTGTACCAGGCCATGAAGGCCCATAGGGTTGTGAGACATTGAGAGTCTCACATTCTCTAGACAATTGGCTCAAAGATGGCGGTAAGGTTGTCAGCCTTACGTGCCGGCCGCGCTTTACTCTCCAGGAAAATTATTTAATTAATTCCTGGTACTCATTTCTGTTAGAGGCTGAGTCGACCCCAGGGCCATAGTGCGGCTGGAATGATTAGGTCAAATGAAAAAAAATCCAATGCCCTCATTGGGACGTGAACCCGCGACCTTCCTGCTTGTAGCATAGTGCCTCAACCAACTACGCTACCTTGTGCCCATATCGTATATTCAAATGTAAATTTTAATTTACTTATTACTACTCAAGACTGGAAGTTCATACATGGAGAGAACCATGCAAAGAACACCTTTTGGAACCCTCTGGCAAAAAAACTAGGGAAGTACTGTAGCTAAACAGGAACCAGCTGAAACATTTGACAGGAACTAGGAATAGCAAATAGACCTAACTGTGAACACTGCCATAATAAAGATGAAAAAGCTTCACACGTCTTACGTCACTGACGTTCTAGGTGAATTAATATTTGGTTACCTGGATTCCATTTCATCAGGTAGAATGACTTATCATATCACCCCATTGCTGAGGGTCCAATTCCTGATGATATTATTCGATTATTCAACTGACCTAATCCTTCCAGCCACACTATGGCCCTTGGGTTGACTCAGCTTCTAACAGAAATAAGTATTAGGGCCCTTTACAGGGGTAGAGGGTGGCCAGTGTGTAAGGCTGACACCTCACCGCCTCTGTGAGCTGACTGTCTGGAAAATGTAGGATCCTTGACATTTCAAAATCCTATGGGCCTCCATGACCTGTTACAGGGAGAGTTTTACCTTTTATTTTTACTGTGCTTTTTTTAAAGTATGGGACTGCTAGAACAGAGCTAATCTGAGAAGGGGCATGCACAACAGATCACAGATGGTCATGATGCAAAGACTGTTTAACACTTCTCCTTTCAACCTTATCTACTATTTAAAATAATTGCTTAATTCTGCTGTGCATTGTGTATTGAAATATATCTTGGATTATCCATTAAGCTAACAGAATATTAGTTTTTTGAACCAATAAAAAAGTAGTTATAACGATTTTGAATTGTTTCATTTTTGGTCCGTTACACTATCAATCACAGAGTTAGTAGAGAGTCCGTCGAGTGTAACAATTTGCAGGTCACTTTTTTAATATCACTTCTGCCTTACATGTTTCGGTTTGATACAACCATCATCAGAGGCACTTGCTATAACTATGGAAACACTGTCGTTGTTTATGATGTTCACAGTTATGTTTGTCGTGTAGACGCTGCTACAATATGCTGACGTGTAAAAGCACAAAACTTACTAAGATAGTTGAGTACACTATCAAGTTCTCACTTTTCATCCGAAACTGTTTTAAGTTAAAACGCTAAATGTTAAAATATTTAATCTAAAATGCTGAATTCCTCCTTGTTAGTTCATCCCGAAGATGGGAGACGTCAGCTTGAAGTTGTATGGCTTATGGTTCGATATTTCTTATGTGCTGTGTGTTGTGCACTGCCTAAAACTTAAAACAGTTTCGGATGAAAAGTGAGAACTTGATAGTGTACTCAACTATCTTAGTAAGTTTTGTGCTTTTACACGTCAGCATATTGTAGCAGCGTCTACACGACAAACATAACTGTGAACATCATAAACAACGACAGTGTTTCCATAGTTATAGCAAGTGCCTCTGATGATGGTTGTATCAAACCGAAACATGTAAGGCAGAAGTGATATTAAAAAAGTGACCTACAAATTGTTACACTCGACGGACTCTCTACTAACTCTAGTTATAACGAATTTAATGTATTGCATTCTCCATTTTTAACATTTCTGGATTACCCTTTCTGTTTGCCCTATCTGGCTGTATTCTTTGCAGTGGTACTTGGTAAAGGACAACAGTGGTGAAAAGGCCATTTAGAAAGAATGTGATGGGCTTTATTTGATAAGGATATGATATTCCAAGAAAAGTTTAGCCAGGTACCTCAAAGGTAAGAACAACACTCTTTTCCACCACTAGCAAACAGTGATGTAACCCTGGTTGTAATGATGATTCAATCCAAATGAACAGGACTGCAAAAGTAATCCAAAGCACTCACTTTTGCTGAAAAAATAATTTCAGATAGGGTCACCAAAATAATTACAAATATCAACCAAAGGTAAGAATATGTTTGGGAAAATTCCTAAGGATGGAATTTGTTCTGTACTACAGGAAACAAACCAATTATACTTGCACAGAGTTCCCTGAGCAGTATTTCATAGGATGCTGATGGTCAGTGGTCAAATTTGTATCAGTCTGCAAATTTCAGTCATTTGGCCACAGCCACGATAATTGTGGGGTCCAATGCAAAAATGGAACTGGTTGGGAGGTGATTCAGTTCTGGTCAAAATTTAGTCTCATATGTATGCACACGCACACGCAGGGTTATATTATAGCGTGCAGGACCATTACTATGCAACAATTGTGAGATGGGCTGATGTACGAGGACCATTTCTGGGCAACAGCTCGGTAAACACGTTCCCGTTCCTAGGTATCCGTCATCTGTGCTGAGATGTCATAACCAACGGACAAGTCAGTTGATAGAGTGTTCTGTATGGGAGGCTGTGAAGAATGGACTTGAGCCAGAGGCACAGGAATAGCCACTGTTAGAGCGGTTAGTAGGAAACACATAGTAACACACTGAAAACACTAGACTGTGTATTCTAGTGAACTCTAAAGTGTGGAAATAACAATAGTGTTATACCTATTTGTAGTTATGACCTGTAAGTGGTCAATAAATCCATTCACCAATTTAAACGTCCTCTATAATCACACACATACATGTGACAAATCATTGTCCAGTGTATGGGTGGAAGAACAGTGTGGCTCAATTGATTAATTACACGGTTATAGTGAAGATCGAGCAACACTGTGATGTGTTTTTTTATGAATTATTAAACATGTTTTTGTTATCTTCCAAGAGTCTATCAAAGTGCAATCACATCCTTTTTGTACTGGACCCTTCAATTATTCTTTTACAACCCGTAAGTTTTTCTCTCTTAATTTTACTTCCTTTTAGAGACTAAATACTTTGTGTTGAACAATAGGAGACTTTCTGCATTAGCAGGTAAGTCACAGTTACTGCTCTCTCCTGACAATATGGGAAATTTCTGAAAACTTCTGTCAAATGCCCTTATGAATTCTCTATTTAACACAATGCAAATACATTAATTTTATGCTGTAAATTCTTATTCCATGTTTATTACTATAGTTTCAACTAGATTGTAAACTTTCACTTGTATCGGAGAGCCTAATGTGATCTACTGGCTTATGAATAACAAATGGATGAGAACCAATGCCGTGTTGTTAACACCTGATTTGAAACAGTTCTGTCATTTGTATTTAATTGTTTTATTATGTTCATGCCACATCTACATAGGATCATTTTTAGTGACGAGACACAGGGTTTAGATTTATGACTGATTTATTGAACGCTTAAAACTCATAACTACAAACAACTACAACAGTCTCACTGATTTACACACTCTATATATCATTAAACTACAGCACATACAAAATCTTCTGTTTGTTCACTAGTTGTTGCCAGGTAGCAGCTGCTAGTAACACAACTCATGACTGACTTTCTTGACAATATGGGAAATTTCTGAAAACTTCTATCAAATTGCCTTGGGAATTCTCTATTTAAAAGCACACAAATACGTTAATTTTATGCTGTAAATTATTGTTCCATGTTTAGGCATGTAGTTTTAATTAGATTGTAAACTACAGATAATTATAACATGTTTACTAATCTTCATAAGTAACTACAGCATAATTCAAGTCTTTCCAATCTGCTATATCTTCATGTACTCATTGTTTGGTACGAACTCCAATAAGTGAGACTCTCCCTAAAGTTTCTGTGCTCAACGGCTCTGGCTTTGGGTCTCGCTGGCTCTTTACATAGCATCGCTAGGGACTGAGGTTCCTCAGATGTTGTCTGTTGCAGAAATGTGTTTTGACAAGCTGATATGTAGCAACTGATGCCTCTGCAGCACCTCGTTTCGCTCAAAAATTATGACATTTGGATGTCATGTAATGTCATAATATTATTAACCTATCTGTTAGTTCAGTGTTCCTAAATTAAATTAAAATCTGTTAAGAATAACTACCAGTTACTATAACAAAAGCAAAAAGTAGTAAGTACCAATCTTCATTGGTTGCATCCTGTTGTGTGTTTCAGATATATATAGGAATTATGTTAACTGTCAACACAACAAATTTACTCAGTTTTAATGTTTTACAATTCGATCTTTATTCCTGCTACATGTTCTGGTCATATAAGACCATCATCGGGCAGTTACACATAGAAATACATATAGTTATTGAACTACCAATACAGATCCATATCCACATATCCATTATATGACCAAAAAATGCAGAAGGAATAAAGATCGAATTGTAAAACATTAAAACTGAGTATATTTTTTGTGTTTACAGTTAACATAAATTCCTATATTAAGTACCAATGTCTACTCTATCAACTACTAAGGAATAAGCTCAGTGGGTAATGTACAGAAATAATATTGAAAATATCTAGAAAGACATATACTCAACCATATATGTTGTGAATATATGGCACAATTCCAGTTAACAACAAAGAAAAACTAAGTTTGAACAAAACAGTAACCAAAGTATGTTTGACATAAAAACATATTTAACTATTTGAACATAATGTTAAATTGAATTACCTTTGTCATGATGGATTTTCTTTAGAAGAAAAGTACATATATATATTTGTATTGTCAGAAAGATAAATGCATCATTTTAGATAATATTGGTTTTTACATTATGGTGAAGTATCATGCCCTCTTTACTGGTTTATCTTTTAATGTAATTACACTGTTTAGAGGCAGATGCTTGTAGGTGAACTAACGAAGTTGCAACAGTAACCATTTTCTCACGAATGAACTAACTTTAAAATGTATTCAATAAATATGAATTAGAAAGTATGTTACTTTGAAGTTCTATCTTCTAGGATACAATATTATGTAGTTCATTGAAAGTCAACCAATGTTTTTGGAGTGCAAGCAGAGCAACTTTCAGTGGACTACACTGCATTACACCCCAGTAGACAGAACTCTGCATGACCACCGTTACGAGAACTTCAAATCGTACATGTTCGTTTAAGGTAGGTCAGCTGTTTGTGATCTAATTAGTGGGTATAAATGAACAATGAATTTTGCAAAAAATCTAAAGGTGTATGACATCGTCAGGGTGCATGGTCATCATACTGCACAGTTGATTTCGAAATTCAAACTTCTTAATATGCTTACACTTCTCGTTGTGGTGTCCACCCAAATATAACTCTGTACTGGTATTCTTTTGCCTCTTCTTCAGTTAACTGTATTGTACCCTGCGGAATCTCGCCAATTCGTCCTTTGTGCAATGCCATACTCAATTCGAAGACGGCGGAACGCAACCTATTATTAATCTATACCTGAAAGGTAAACTTGCTTCATTAAAGCCTATTAGCATTTTTAATTAAAATTCAACATAATTTCATTGTATATTCACACGGCAATACCTTAAATAAGTTACAGTTACTACCTACAAATTCCAGATCGATAATTACGAAAACTGTCAATTTGCTACAACATAATGTAAGCAGACCAACCATAGGAACACTTACCTAGCACAATTTTAGGTTAGGTTAACATTCCTGCGGTAACATTGTGATTGTCTTAAATAACTCAGGAAACTTGTAATCCAAAACAACCACCTCCTTGGCGCAGCAGACATCTTGTGACGTCCCTATACGCCATCGACCAATCACATCAGTAGTCAGTCGGAATCCCGGCTGCTAGAGTTGTGAGCGCCATATTGTGCGGGTTTGCATGTTTATGTTCAGAGGTGCTGCGACTTGAATGTTATTATACTCTCTGTTACTGCGCGTATAAAATTGATTATAAGTAGTGTGTCACAAAAACGTTTCGGCATAGGACAGCGTGAAGTTTTGGAAGTGTTGTGTCAGTAATATATATATTTTTTAAACTTGGTTCTTACTAGGTGTAGAGAGACAACCCCAGACAGGAGTCTTTACTACAGGGAGACACTATTTGGAAGTGATCAAGAATGCCTGTTCGTAAACAAGGTGGTAAGATCACGTTACTTAGAGCTAGATGTTGGTTGATTGTAGTTTGTAGTAGTGTTTCATGAATCCTTTTGCAAGGTTGGGAGTGGCTCAGCTCGTGTATTCCATTTGGTTTGAACTGTGTGATGTTACTTGATTTGTTACAAAAGTAAATCGTTCCCGCTTGAGTTTTCGAAAATTGTGAGCGGATATAGTTGGCGCTTAATGTTTTCTTTGTTGTTGTTAATGCTATGTTACATGACATTCTGGAGTGTGTCTTTAGTATTTTAATAATCACTCATATTAATTTATAGGTTAGAAGTGAATTAATTACTTTACACGACTGTTGAACATAACTGAAGACTTAAGAATTTAATTTTTTTGCTTCACTGTTAATGACAGGCATTTAATAGCAATCTTACCAATATCTTTGTATCCCATTCTGAAACAACGTCCAGTAAGGGTTATCTACCACGTATACTTCTCAGAGGTTATTGCCATTGACAGTTCTTTCTGGACCAGCATTCACTGAAGATATTAGCTGTTGAAGGTCCTGCCAGATGTTTAGACATCGCTGTCTGAGGTTTTCTCTGACGGTTCATAAAATTTTCTTCATTCTATAAAGATCCTGTATTATATCTCTTCCAGAACTTGTAGTTTGTGAAGTTTTCATAGTCTTCTGCACAGCTTTCCCTTTATGAACTTTTCTGAGGGCTTCCTTGAAGCTTTTCAGAATTTGTGGAGAGTAATAGATGGCCAGAATATCAAACATGTGAGATTTGAGGGTTGTCACAGCAATGACAGTAGAGTACTCTCTTCTGGAATATGATGCTGTATAATCTAGTACCAGTTTACAAACATTTCAGAGGAACATACTGCATGAAAAGTGAGGGAAGCACTTACTCTTCTTGCTGCTTATTCAGTTTACTTTTTTGCCTTGAAGTTGGAGCCAGTGGATTCCTCCAAAATTTCACTAAACTTCTGCCAAACTGCACATTTTCACATCATCTGAAATAGTACTTTTTGACATAAAGTCACATTTATTTTCTACAGTATTCAGACCAGTGAATGCACATAATATTTCCCCCACTTACATCAAAAGAAATGTTCTAAATATTCAGTGCTTCTCCTTATAATCTTTGTTGTGCAATCTGAACATGTGAAACTAATGGGTGTGTTTTTAGTTTAGAATTTATATTGAATTCTGAGTGCCCTGCTTGTTTTAACGTTCTATTTTAAGCTAGCAGTAACATGTCTTGTTGAAGTTTTTGTTGCATGAATGTTAACAAGAAATAACACTTTAGCATGTGCATTGTTTAAACTTTTAATTGTTGTTGAGGTTCCAAATAAAATTGTGTTCCTTTCCTTCCATTCATAATTGCATTACCTCATGAGGTTATATGTTTCATACTTTAAAATGCTAACACAATCTCTCTGCGGAACACAGAAGTGAATTATTCCATAGTGGGATAATATTTATAGAAAATGTATAAGAAAATGAACTTATGTTGAAAATCACATGTCTCTTTGCAGTGTGATTTCTTGGATAAACCTCAAAGAAAATATTAATAGAGTTTGATTATTTGGAATTAGTTTCCAGATACCCTATTTATGACAGTCTTGGTGATGAAGTAGTTTTGAATTATGGTACATTTATTCATCAATAGAAGACCCAGAAGTTGTACTTGTTTTTGAATGTACTAATGCAGGTTTGAAGAAACTGTCAAGTTTTGTCTGAACAGACGAGTGATTTGTCTGCCTTCCTAAATGCCATGTGTCCCTTAAAAGTATATACTCAAGTGTGAACAGCATTTTTCGTTTTCCGTATTTCGATGTGATTAGCTGACATCTGGATTAACTGTAAATGGATTAGCAAGGGTTTAATATAGATGCAGGTGGTGCTAGTATTTTTTTCTTCTAAATATGTTGTATTATAATTGAATGTTTACATTTTCCTTAATGTTTCCAAGGCAGCACTAGATTAGTGCTAGGATGAGACATACTGGGTTGTGTTTTCACAAATGACATGATTGTGCACATATGCCAGCATTAGAAATGTATTAAGCAAGTAGCAAAGTGAATGCTTAGCATTTAACCCTTTCCCTGTTGCATATGCCATTGCCATGTGGTAGCTAAATGTGTATGATGTGTGATGAACTACTTAAACATTTCAGAAGAAACACAGTAGCTTAGAGATTTAGGTTGAACATTTCTGCTGTGACTGGTAATTGACAAATTTACAGTTGACAAAGATGTTCTTAGTATTGTTGCACACCAGTATTTGTTTCAAGTATTATGTTTTTGGACATTAACCATTGTCTTGTCTATTTTCTAAGAACTGTCCTGTTTATTTTTCAAAACACAGCTTTATGGAGACTGGATTCTGTGCCCATCCTCAGGTAAAACCTACTCAGTTTGGCCCAATAGATAGAGCTAGTTCCTATGTCCGGAGGTTTTACTTGATGATGGGGACAGAATCCAGTCTCTGAAACGTTGTGTTTTGAAAAATACACAGGACGGTTCTTAGAAAACAGACAGGATAATCAATAATGTCCAAGAACATAATACTCGTAGCAATGTACCATCGTCACAAACTTTTAGATCTTAGTATTTTGCTTATTGAAAATTGTTGCAGCTGGGCTGGTTGGTGCGGTAATAGCACTCTAGCCTTGTATTTTGAGGTACCCGATTCAGATCTGCCTGATCTATCCTGACTGACGTATTTTATGGGTTTTCACAATCTCTGTAGGAAAATGTATGGTTAGTGTCTTCAAATAGACTGTAATCATATCCTTGTTTCCTTCTTTACCTGCCCACTGTTCATGGTCATCTTCAGAGCCTGGTTACTAGTCACTGTATCATTTCTGCAGATGATAGTGCTGTTAAACAATCCAAGAATCAGCCAATGAAATTATTTCAGATGATTGAAAGGAATGAGAAGAGCCTTTTTTTGCAGTAAGAATTTTGTAGGAGTAAATGAAACTGCCAGCTGTGCTAAGTGGATTCCTTGTCGTCACATCATGGGACATCCTCAGGGTGCAGATGAAGGAGTTGGCTTCCAGATATTGAGGGTAACTGAAAATGTATTGATTGAATAAGCAGTTGCATACAACTAACATGAGGTGGTCCTTCTGCATAGGGGATGAGCAGCATGAGGTAGATCAAATCTTCTCATTGTGTTAAAAAAGAGTTCCTAAATGCCACACGTGGTCCCAGGCTTGAAACAGGCTTTTGAGAACATGGTAATGAGCTGTCAGGTTACGTAAAATGTGGAATATTTCTTGTCTAGCTAAGTGATTGTTAGCTTGTCAAGGGGAAATCTGATTCATATAGCTAGTTACTTAGAATGAAACTGTCAGTTGTACACTGTTCAAACTAAGATAAGTTTGATCATAATTATGGCTGTATTTGTTATATATGTCTTCGAAAATATGTAGAATTAATCTTGTCTGATTCTTATAAATATCTTTTCAATTAAAAGTACAATAAATCTGTGAGTGTGGCCATAATTTAGAGAAACTACGAATATGTGAGTTATGAGATCCTCATGACTGTGTCTGTGAAGGTTATTGCCTTTTGGAATGTTATGCCTTGTAATTTGGTATATAGACACCAGTGCTTCAAAGTACAAACAGTCCGTGTTTTGTGAGTGTTTTGTTTAATTTTTTAGATGTTTAGTTTTTCAAAAACCATCCGTTTTACATATTCCATCATAATTATCTAGAATGACTCGGCCATTAAAGTGACTGGCCAAGCTCATTTGATGTGGAAACAGGCCACAGGCTGGACGGATGGGATTTAAGCCCTAGAAGAGCAAGAGAATTTTCATTTCTCCCCAGTGTCCTGACCAACTGTGGGGCCCACCCAGCCCCCTATACAGTGGGTATCAGGAGCTTTTTCCTTGGAGTTAAGGCGGCCATGGCGTGAAGCTGACTGCCCACCTTGATCTAGTGCCAAGGTCAAGAGGTCCACCATATATCTTCGTGTGTGGTGCTTAATGAATTTAACAAAGGGACAGCTTTTCCTGGCTACAGACTGGACAGCCTGGGTTTGAGTTCTGTTAAAGACTGGGATGTTTGGCATGGCCAATCTCCTGTTCAATGTGTGCCATATGGGACATCCTGAGGGATAAACCCTATCAGAGTGAATTCACACAGTTCTTAAGTCAGAAGTATATGCATTATTGCATCCGGTTTTCCTGTATATTTTCGTGGTGCATTGTCTGTGCACTGGGATAACATTGTATTATTGTTGTTATCGTCATCGTTGTCATCGTTGCTGTTGTTGTTACTGCTGCTGCTATTGTTATTATGCCTTGTTTTTGTGTTCGATTTTTTGTTGTATTTTGTTGTTGATTACAATGAGACAGGACATCACCTATTCATAGACTTCAAAAAAGCCTAAGATTCAGTTAGAAGGGAAGTCTTGTACAATATTCTGATAGAGTTTGGAATACCCACGAAACTAGTTAGGTTGATTAAAGTGTGTTTAAAAGAAACGTATAGTAAAGTCCGTGTAGGTAAACATTTGTCTGATAAATTTCCTATCCAGAATGGTCTAAGACAAGGAGATGCTTTATCGCCACTCCTTTTCAACTTTGCTTTAGAATATTCCATTTGGAAGGTCCAGGAAAACCATGTGAGACTGAAATTAAATG